ATTGCGTAATATTATTATTATTTTTTTTTCCTATAAACTGTCCATTGATAAAAGCTATCTTCCAATCGACTAGAAACAAGCTAGAAATTCATTGCGGTTATTTTAAGCTCGTCCCTATACTATACTTTTACCACATTAATCTGTTACGATTTTTTAGGAAGAGGTAAATTAATTTAAAGAAAATCCACATTTGAATTGATTCATTAGTGTTGGTTTCTTTTTGTTCAATATGAGTACAAGTTAAATGCATTTAACATCGGTAAATGGATATATCTAATTATACGTCTAAACATTTTCAATTTTTTGAATGGAATTTTTAAAAAAACGCGAAAAAATTTTTTTTGAAATAATTTCAATCATAAGATATGAAAATTAAAATGAATTGGCGCCTTTCAAAAATATTTTTATAGATAAATTTATATAAGTTATATTGATGAAAAGTAGTAAATGAAATTTATGGATAGGTGAAATTGGTGATAATGATGATCAGGTCTTTAATATATATATATATATATATATATATATATATATATATATATATATATATATATACTTATTTGTTTTTCCTTCCAGACATTTAAATTATCTGTCATAATTGTTAGGTTACGTGAGAATGTGTTTTCAGTAAATAATCCAAAAAAGTACTGGCGTGTACTAATTTCTAGCATATTTAAATTATATTTCAATTCAGACTTTCTGGAAAACAAAAACAATCAGATGCTATTACTCGTTGTACCTTTTTTCTAGCTAAATCATGTATGTTTCTTTATAAATTGAAATAATTCAACTGCAAAACCGGATCTTACCATTTCAGAAATTTTCAGTGGTGAATATTCTGTTGTCAATAAATTTGCCTAACGTTGATCATACTGAATCAATATTCCTCAATGTTACATGACTGCCATAATGAGGTGGCTTAGACATTAACTGAGGAATTACAACCGGATTATTCACAACCAAATTTATTTCTTCCTGATGACACACGTTTCGATCTGTTTAGCAATGACTAAACGACTGTATAATGTGAAACTCTCAGCATTAAAGAGAGGAGCTGGAATACTTAAAGACCAATAGATTTAGATGCAATCTAATCTAGACTTCAACAGAAATATAAATCTATTTCTCTGTTCGATTACTATGCATTTTGAGTGCTCGTTTATTGAGTGCAGATAGCCTTCTAACTAGAAAATTTGTGTAATTTTACACATACACAAAAAATTTCACAACGTGAAAGCTTCCAGTAACAGACCATTATGTAAGGAAATGTTAGTGAATTTCTCTGAATATATCTACCGTAATAGCATATTTTATCCTGGTTACAATAAAAAGTTCGAGCATGTTTACCGTGTAATACTGAACATTTTCATCACCTGGAATAGCTAAACACGCTCAGTGTAGTGTTAACATCCTGTGCATGCAAGCCTCCATGATTTTTTCTACGCATTCGACAGAAGTGACCATCTGGTTTTTCACTTGAACTGGGACTCTTCAGCCTTATATGGTATTTGATTATGTGAATACAGGACTAGTACAATTAAACTAATTAATCGAAAGTTTACAATAGGTCACGTTTCTCTCCATATTGTTTAACTGGGCCGTATTTTCAAGTAGAGCATCATAAGATTTCACCTCCTCACAATCTCTCTTCCAGTAACCAGGCAACTTTGATCCTACATCTTCCACCACTGAAAATGACATGCAAATCACCCTCTGTGACACTATAGACATCTATTACAATTAATATTTTTCATTCAATGTATACTATTCTATCGCAGAGTTTCTTTCCGAAATTCATCAGGAACCTTTTAGAAGTGTTATCAGAACTGTTTCCTTCATTATGAACAACGCTTCATTTGTTTTGTATCACTCTGCATATTCGAAACTACTCAGACAAGTTATTTCCAATTTAATACTCCATTCTGAATATACTGTTTAGTTTGAATAATCATTTTGTGTGTTGAGATCTGTTAGTTTCTCTACATCTCACATATTTTCTAGAGCAGCTTAAGCGAGTCGTCTTTTTCTTTACTATTTCTGGTAAGTATTATGCTTCAGCGACAGTTTACAGCTGACAAGAGTCCATGAAATATATTGATCATATTCGATTTTATAAATTGCATTTTGAGATTTATCATTTATAAATGCCATATATTGATATCATCAATATCATCAGTACCATCAGAAAACAAAATCTGCATCCCCATTCAGGTGGACAGGAATAGACCTACATCACAGACAATGAATCAAAAACCAACTAAATGCTATATCAATTATGAATATTAATACTTTATGGGGGTAAATAGGTTCTGTATTTTGGAGATAGGCAGATTATTCACAAACAGAAGCACATATCAATTTGTTATGTAGCTTATGACAAGTAAATGTCACACGTTAGTATTTAATGTTGAAAAGTGATTGGATATTCTTTGAGCTACTTATTTTGTTGCTACAACTCATTTATACATTATTTATGGTAAATAAAGTCTATAAATAATAAACAAATACGACAAAAGTGTCATATTTTTATTTTAAAATAAGTACTTTATTGAATAACTCTGCCTGTAGCTCTTCTAGAGCTACTGCCGGTCCCAGGCCCAGGTGAAGGAGGAGGGTTGGGCATGGGGTTAGCGACCCCATCCCGTAGAAAACTAACTCGCTTAAAACACTAACCAGAGAAAAATAATGCAAACCATTTAAGCACTGCCCTGGGAGTTAGGTCATCATTTAGAATAGATATGAAGTCTCATGATGAAAGCCGAGTTCCTCCGGAAGTCACGAGATCGATGACACACTTAACAACCAGAGAAACGATTAATATGGGTACATGGAACGTCCGAGCAATGTGAGAGACCGGGAGGACCAGTCAAATAGCGACGGAATTGAGGAGATACAAATTAGCAGTACTGGGAATCAGCGAAACCCATTGGACCCAAGCTGAACAACAAAGGTTAAATACGAGAGAGATGCTGCTATACTCCTGTCACGAAGAGGAAAATGCTTCACACACTCAGGGAGTTGCTTTAGTGCTGTTCAAAGAAGCACGAAATGCACTTGTAGGATGGGAATCTCACGGATCCAGAATCATCAAAGCATCCTTCAAAACAAAGAAGGAGGGAATCACAATGAATATTATCAAATGTTATGCACCCACCAATGATAGCAATGACGACGATGAAGATCAGTTCTACGATAGGTTGCAATCAACCATAGTAAAGTGCTCAGAAAAGGACCTGACCATCCTAATGGGAGACTGAAACGCCAAAGTCTGAATGGAAAACACTGGATATGAATATATCATGGAACAACATGGACTAGGAGAAGGGAACGAGAATGAGGAAAGATTTACAAACTTATGTACATTCTGCCACGTGGTTATTCCCACACAAACGCATACACAAAGCTACATGGGTTTCACCGGATTACACCACGAAGAACCAGACCATATTTGTATCAATGAAAAATTTAGAAGAACGATGGAAGATGTGAGAACCAGGAGAGGAACTGACATAGCTTCATGTCACCACTAGCTGGTGGTTGCCAAGGTGAAACTGAAACTGAAGAGGTACTGGACAACTGGGGAAACAGTATTACACAGGTTCAATATAGCCTTCCTTCGAGATACTGACAAGCTCAATGAATTCAAGGTAGCTTTCAAAAACAGGTTCCAAGCCTCACAGAATCTACTGAAAGAAGAAGAAACTACGATGGAGAACAACTGGGACGGACCAAAGAAGCATCAACCTCAACGTGCTAGGAGGTGCTGGACTGTAACAAACATCATCATAAAGAATGGATCTCTACCGAAACCCTTGACAAGATCCAAGACAGGTAGAACAAGAAGATAGAAATCAACAACAGCCGAACAAGTGCACAGAAATTCAAAGCACAAGATAAATACACTAAGGCAAACAAGCAAATGAAGAGAAACATTAGAACTTACAAGCAGAAATATGTGAAAGACCCAGCAACGACATCGGAAAAAGCTTTAAGAGGAGGAAATATGAGACAGTTATGTGGCACAACGAAGAAACTGGTAGGGAAATATGATAAACCAGAGACCCGCCAAGGACAAACAAGGCAAGACGATCACTGAAATTCAAGGATAGGGGAACATGTAGGTAGATCGCTTTGAAGACCTCTTGAATAGACCAGCTCTACTGAATCCACCAGATAGTGAAGCAGTACCTACATGTCTTCCCATACACATCACTTTGCCAACAGTCAAATAAATCAGGATGGCCATCAGACGAATCAAGAGTGAGAAAGCAACAGGATTTGGCAATATACCAGCTGAAGCACGGAAGTCAGACATAGAAGTAACTGCAAGTATGCTCCAAGTTCTATGCAGGAAGATTTGAGAGGAGGAACAAGTGCCGATGGACTAGAAGGAAGGATATCGTATCAGGATACCAAAGAAAAAGGGATCTGAGCAAATGTGGGAACTACACAAGCGGTCTGTGCACCTTCACGTGAGGTAACATGCATTAGTAAGTATGTACTTTATTGAATAACAAGACTGAACAGTTTGCTTACGGATGATTTCTGAATAAGCGCCATAAGGTTGTGAGGCCCAAAAACAACTCCGCTATTCAATTTAAAATATCGAACCAAATAAATAATCTTTGAACAAGTTTATGAGAAAATTACTTCCTCCATTGTCTATGAATCAGTGACAATAATTCTAATTGCTACTCCTGCTGTCACTTCATTCGACCAAGGTAAACGTGTACACTGATCAACCTACGTGCGAGACAAACGAAACTATCTAAATCGGTCATGAAGTGTCACTAAGTTCAACTTAGATGTGAGCAAACAAATATCAATGGTTTTAACGCTCAAACTTCATCGACATAACATGCTTCCTATTGATGATCTTGGATACACTAAGATTTAATCAAAAGAGAGTGTCGTAGTTTGATTACGGCTGACAAGGAGGAGTTAATAGATCTACAGTGGTGTACAACGGAGATATTGTATATTCAAACCATTAAAAGTGACCTGTGGTTGGTGGGGATTTTGAACACCCAATCTGCGCGTGTTTTTGGTGATCTCTCGAAGAATGGGATTCGGTCTTGTTGCTATTGCCTACATATTAGCATTAATTTTTACGATTGCTCTTATATTCCTCGTCATTTTTCAAGTAATAGGGTTTGATTAATGGCAGTATTTCAAAGGTTATCTCATTTGACGAACTTCGAACGGACTACAAAAATCCTATTGACCAGTGTAAATCACTTAATCCGGTACCACTCGGTTTTGCCACTTATTTCATTTAGCTTGTACTTCCTGAATATGCACTTCATGCTGCATTCACAATACTGTTCATGTTCACAGGCCAAATTGGGACTGTCTTGCTAAATGTACCATTGCTGGCATATAATATTTACAGGTTAGCGTCATTAAGTAATTCTCATCGATTTAGGTACAAAAACCGACCAGTTATGTCTTGTCCTGGATTGTATGATCCGACTACGATCATGAACCATGATGAGCTTAGCAGAGCTATGAAGGAAGGCTGGGTGAAGCTTGCTTTCTTTATTATTTCCTTTTTTTACTATTTATATGGGTATGTTCTTTACAGTATCATAACCTTGTTTAGAATGATTTACGTACTTGTCACTGACTGAAGAAAGACCAATCTCTTCAAGAACAAAAATGCATAGTTCGATCTTTCACATTTTTTTCTGTGTACAATAATTCAAATATAATGTCTTATTTTATAATTCTTTCTTCTTTTCCTGTTTGGTTGCTATCATTAGGTCTCAATATTCATATTTTAGAATGTCTCTACTGTGTTCCTTATCAAACGAGGTGCCTGAGCATCCAGTTGTTAGTCCTCGCTCGGGCCATATTTTTGAAAGACGGTTGATTGAAAAATACCTCGGAGAAAATGGGACTGACCCTATCGATCAACAACCTTTGGCAGTTGAGGAGCTAATTGATGTTAAAACACCGGCCTTTGTCCGTCCTAAACCTCCTTCTGCAACATCAATCCCTGCTATATTAAAGACTCTGCAGGTATTAAAAACTTAGTGACTTATTTTTTGTTAGGATGAGTGGGATGCAGTTATGCTACAATCATTTACACTCCGACAGCAGTTGCAGACTGCTAGGCAGGAATTATCACATGCTTTGTACCAGCATGATGCAGCTTGTCGCGTTATCGCTAGGTAAGTTAAACATTCGTTTGAAGTGCCAGTTCGGTTGTCTCGGTTATTATCTTCATATTTTACCAAAATAATTGTGGTTCCGTCATATGATTTAGGTTGCTAGCTTGTTCTTGAAGTTCTAGATTGATTAAATTCTACTAATTTGTTGTTGATTTGTGCTCATTTCTAGTATTTGTTACGAGAATTAATCTTTTGATAATTAGCATAACAAAAGGCTCTAATCCAGTAATTACCTCTTTTTGGTCACCAGTTTGTGCCAACTGCTTCTCCAGACCACGTGTTTCGCTAATTGCAGTTACCATGGTCTCGGGACGAAATGCAGAACGTTGTAGTATTACGTCACTTAGCTACCACACTGAAAGATCATCCGACAGAATGTCACCACTGAGGAATAAATAAATCTTAAAACGTTTCTCAGCCTTCAAATGGTAGCTACATTTCACAGCAAGGGAACGCGTGTATAAGTAAAGAACTTTTCAAATCAGCCAATGGGTTGTGAATGAATCAGTGAAAGGTTATGTGTTCGAGATTTAGGTGAAAAATAAATTCAGATGCTTATTTGTAATCAGTTTGGAGCAAAATCTGTTACACACAATCGCAGTCCAAATTGTTACTTATCAGTCGAACTAAGCAATTTTATATACATAAAAGCCATCCAGATAGAAAACATCTGCAAACTTTAACTTTTTACTACCACATCATCAGTAATTCAAAGCTCATAATTTTATTTTGCAATCGGTTCCTTAGTTTAAAGAAATAGGGATTTGATTACTAGTTACTGTAAGCAGTAAAATAGATCTCATGCTTTTGGTTTCAGTGGAAAAATGTTTCAGTTAACACTTAGTCACTGGTGTATACTCGTCCTACTACACTGTGCGTTGAAGCATTTGGGATCTTTGATTTTGTCTGCCGAACCATTTGTTTATTTCGGTTTCACTCACCACTACTGTCAGTAGGCTTGCACACACTCAAGTCATACTTAAAGTGCTGTAGTCATATCAAACTGGACTTGGAAACAATTTACACCCTTTAAAAAATGTATAATATCTTGAAAATCCCTTTTTACAATTTTGTCGATTGTACTACAAGTTATGGTTGCATGCCAGTTTGTTTTATTGTCTGAACTCTCTTATATGCTTGGTCATTTATTTAAAATTGTGTGTACTGAATTTGCGAAGTGCAAAATATTTACATCAGTACTTAAAAAGTTTTGTACTTCGGTTTCTCAGTGAGTCGTGGTTTTTGGATGTAGTGAGATTGATTTTTGTCTCATGAATAGCATCCAATTTTTTTTTTTTGAATGAGTAAGCCCAATAACTATCAACAGATAGGTATAAAAATTGTCAATAAATTTCGGTCACTTCTTTCAAATTAATGTATTTGCTCTAAAGCATTCTAGCTACAATGTTTTTTATTTTCTTGATTACAATGCCACATTCAGGGCTATTAAAGTATGAAATCAGGTAGTGTGCAAAGTGTCAACCATAGCCGAAATAAGTTATTCAGCCATGCGTAAGAAATTATATCCTCTCACCATTAAGGCTCCTTTGATAACTGAAATTAGTTCTTATTATACCTAAATTGTTGTTATGCTCACTCAAGTGTACAACGATCCGATAGAATTTTGATTATTTGTCTCAATCAAACTTGCCTATCGTCCATTGTGCATCAGTGTACGTATACTGGAAATCGTGTATGCTATACACCCACACGGTTTCAAAATCGCGAAACTAAGTCTTGTATCACAAAATAAACAACTAATTAATACAAAATTAAAATAAATAGATCTAGACCAAACAAAGATCAACTAACATAATCAGCATTTATGCGTTTCAGGAAATAAAATTTTTTCAAACTTTACTCCTTATGTATTTGACATCAATTCTGTCTGATCTATATTACTTTGATAACGTCAAACAATAAAGCAAGTGATTACCTACGGAGTTCACCTTCGAAAACTCAATTTAGAGGTCAAGATTTAAAGCTAAACTTCCATGAAATTTGTCTGCTGACGTAAGTTTGTATCTGTAATTCTTCAATTCAGGATACTAGGACTTTCACAATTGTTTATTAAAATCCAGTGTTCCGGAACTCGTAATGAGGAATATAGTGAGTTCACTGATTCTGTTCACTCGCAGTTAATCTGTATTCCCTACTTATCTTCGTGTTGTACATTCATAAAACTTTGCTGTAAACATTGGCTGAATTTCTCTATCGTAGATAATTCGGCAGTATATAGGGACATAGTTTTGTCAGTAATATCGTTTCTGTTGGTGGAATTCTTCATGAAAAAACCGACAAGTCCCAGATTTGCTTCCATGAGCTAGTCGGAAAACAGGCGTTTATTAACATACTGTCAATCAGAGCATCCAATGGTGTACCTAAGCGTCCTATCTTTGTCATATATTACAAATATTAACTAAGCCATACATATTTGGCGCTATTTCAAAAATGAGGTTTATGACCCTGAAGTTAGAAAGTTTAATCAAAGCTAATTGTTAAGTGTCATTTCAGTTATAACATTCATTTTAACAACTTGGGCTCTATGTTTAGAACTCTATATTATGTCGTTGAGACGGTATTTTGTTCCAAATTTTAATCCTATAAAAAATGATGGGTTCGCTAATTTAACTAAACGTGTAAAACCGGACTTATAGGCTAACAAAGGAGGTAACAGCTGCACGTGAAGCTTTGGCTACATTAAAACCACAAGCTGGTATAATACAACCATCTCAGATGAATGTACAAAATATTAACACAACTCATCAACCTTCTGCTGGCACAGCTCCAACTGTTCCTCCATCCTCAGACACAAGTGACAACTCAAGTACTGTAGATTCAAACCAGGTAAGAATGAATTGATTTTGGCATTTATCTCTTTGGTAGCATCTTGATATTGGCATTTTATTTTAAGAGCATTCCTCCAATTTCATCCTACGTTATAGTTTTAGTATATTTTTATACATATAAACTATGGTGATCAAATCTTAGTTTCAAAAAATCTAATGGAACCGCATTATTGTGTATTGATGAAAAATGGCTTTTTCTCATCATGCTGTGTTACTGAATATATGTGCGCATTACACATCAGTTAGTACTGGATATAAAATATATTTAGCCAGTTATTAAGGTAGTGTCATTTATCTCCCGAATTGTTTTATTTTGTCCAGGTAAATACTTCATAGTAATAATAGGTCTCAAAGTGATTGTTTCATTGTACTCACTGAAGTAAGAATAACATCCATAGGAAGTGAAAGATCCGATTGTAGGATTTCAAGAACATTTCCTTTGAAAGCCAGTTTAAGTAGACCGTAGGATATGATGTATCTGGTGATGATGATGTCAATAGTTCCAACATGTTGCCTATCAGTGGTGACTTATATTTTCAAAACTACCAGTAGAGTCTTAATTTAGATCCCAAGACCTTTTCCACATTTGCTATGCCCTCAATTGGTATTGTTACATTTATGACTTCCAAGATAACGTTTCTTCTGTATTTTGGAGTTCAAAGATTTTCTTGAGTTCTGAACTAGCAGATCCTGCTTTTGGATCTCTATTCATGTAGCGAGGGTCGTACTACTGTTAACCATCACTAAAGACGCATGGTTCATTCAGTTACATTTGGTTATTTATTCATTTTATTTATTTGAACACATAAAGATTGGTACAAGGGGGCACCAAATATATATGCGCCACACAAAACAATGAGAATTTAAAGAGTAGGGAAAAAAAGAAAGAAAGGAGGGTAAGGAGCGTAAAAAAAGAACAATGACGAACAGATTAGTGTAAGACAGTGTAATAGTAGTAATAATGGGGGAAACGAAAAAATGCAATCAGAAGAAATCTTACAGTTAAGGAAGAAGCAACCACTCTTCACGAAGAAAGTAATAGGTTACAGCCGGATAGCCACTGGCTTCTATTCTGAGCCATATCTGATAACGTCTCTAGCCACTGTGTTACACCATCTCTCAGACCCCAGCCAGGGAGTCGTGAAGGACCAACACAAGCCAGCCCTTTGCAGCTTTCTTTCATACCACGACACCATGTCATATACTGACCACCTCTCCGCTTTTTCCAACCAGTCCCAGAGTCGGCAAATAATGCACGACGAGGAATTCTCTGGGACAACATTCGTAGAACATGTCCAAGCCACCGAAGTCGGTGTTTCAAGATGGTGACACCAATGGCATTATCGTCTCTGTGACCGAACACACGATGCCGAACCTCTGCATTACTAACACGGTGTTGCCACTGGATGTCAGCGATCCTTCGGAGACAACGATGGTCAAACACAGAGAGTCGTCTAACATCCTCAACTCGGAGAGGCCAGGTTTCACAAGCATAGAGCAAAACTGCTCTCACCGTCGCGTTGTAGATCCGACCTTTTACAGACAGACTAACATCACGAAGGTGCCAAAGATGACCCAGATTGGCATAAGTCGCTCTGGCTTTCACTATACGTGCATCGATCTCATCACTCACGCCACCACCAGCACTTATGCAGCTACCTAGATACACGAACTTCTCGACGACTTCTATCTGCTCACCATCCAGAGTGAATATAGAATTGGAATCCTGCCAGTCTTGTAGAAGTGCTTTGCACTTCGAAGGTGCAAAGCACATACCATACCCACGGACATTGATTGCCAACTGATTAAGTGCGGATTGCATAGCTTGGGCATTATCGCACAGTAAGACAATATCATCCGCATACTCAAGGTCGAGAAGTCTTTCTCCAGGCAACAGATCCACACCACCATTACTTACATCCATCAGAGTTGTTTCCAGAATGTCATCGATGGCAAAGTTGAAGAGGAATGGTGAGATTGGGCAACCCTGCCCAACCCCACTGCTCGAATGGAACAATGGAGAAAGGTGGTTGTATGCCCTCACTCTGCCTGAGGTGTTTGTGTATAAGGCTTTTAGGATGTTAATAAACTTCTCAGGCACACCCTTCTTCAATAGACAATCCTAGAGAACAGTTCTGTCCAACGAATCGAAGGCAGCCCTGATGTCAAGAAACACTACAATTGTTGATCTTTGATAAGTATGGCGGTGGTTTTGAACAACCTACGAAGTTTAACAGAACGACGTGAACCCTTTTTAAAGATAGGGACAACTATCGGCTCATTCTATGACGTTGGTACACTCTCTAGTTCCCAGACCTTTGCAAACAACGTCGTCAGTCCCTTAGTTAGAAAATCACCACATCTTTAAAAAGAGCCGGAGGTAAGTCGTCTGGGCCCGGTGATTTGTAACGTTTCAAGAGTTGGAGTTCCTTGCGGACTTCCGCCTCATTTGGTGGATCAGTCGTCACTGGCCATAGAGGGCAGGACAGTCTGACCGATGTTGCCGGAGCAGCAGGCCAGTTGAACTGCCCTTCAAAGAATTCTGCCCATCGTCCAAGACGTCGATGGATGTTAGTGATTGGCGTTCCGTCATCCTCACAGATTGTTTCGCTCACACCAGACTTCTTGCTGCCAGTGGCTCGGATGAGTTGGAAGAGCTTCCGTTGGTTACCAGATGCAGCTGCTGCTTCCAGCTCGTTGAACGCTCCGACCACCAGGCTTCTCGGTCCTTACGCAAGCTTTGCTCAATTTCATTACGTAACAGTCGTCGTTTGTGGTCAAAGTCACGGTCACCCGGAGTAGACATGCGGGCTTCAATGAGTTGTAAGGAACCAGAAGAAACCCAGTGCTTATAAGCGGGATTTTCGCTAAACCGCAAGCGGCTTTACTCGATATTTTGATGGCGTCGTGAAGTTGCAACCAATGCTTATCTGTACTTTTCGGTGGAATGGTAGCTAGCCTAGAATCTAGCTCGGTTCGGTACTTACTAGCAACCAGCTTTCTAACGTCAATCCTTTGGTGGCGGTCACTTCGTTATCCACTGAAAAGTAAGGTAAGATTGGCGCAGACCAGAGCATGATCAGATTCCAGATAGGTACTCCAAAAGGAGCGGCAGTCTTGTACACAACCACGCCAGCGGTAGCTGATCGCGATGTGATCAATCTGAATCCAGGCTTGAGATGCAGAAGGAGGACGCCAGGTGGCACATCGGCGATGACTGTGCCGAAAGTTAGTGCTAACCAGAAACAGGTTGTGGTCTATGCACAATTGCAGTAGACGTTCGTCGTTATCTGTTCTGCGACCAGCAAGTCCCCATCGGCCACCTAAACGACTCTCTTCTGTGCCTAGACGCCCGACCTGAGCATTCAAGTCTCCGGCTAGTACTACAATATCTGTCGAACGCACTTTCTGGAGAACAGTTAACTGGTGGTAGAATTCATCCTTGATTGCATCCGGGCTGCAATCTGTCGGGGCATAGGCGGAGATGACGAAAAGACATCGTTTCTCACGCCGATTTCTTCTCACTTTGATGGAACTTTCTAATCTAACAGCACATAACCGACTGTTAATGGGGATCCAGTCGATTAGTGCTACCTCAGCTCTTGCGCTTAGTGCGACACCAACGCCAGCAAGGCCAGACGAAGATGCCACAGGGTTCCCGGATAAACGCACGTAGAACAAGCTTTTTGAAGTGACAGATGGAGAGCGAATTTGTAGTACTTCACCAGAGTCTTGAATACGGGTCTCGGATAGACAACAAACGTCAATATTAAGACTTTCCAAAGACATAGCCAGTCCTATCTGTTGTCCGACCTGCATAAATATGCGCACGTTGAAGACAGCCAGTTTGAATGGTGCGCGTGGTTTCAGAAAAACTGCTTCAGTACTCTTATTCGATGATAACACAATTTTCAACCAGGCAGTGACTCGAGAACGTTTAGATAGAGCCGAATGTCCACCATAGGCAAGCTGCTGTATAAGTTGAAAAATAAGGATAGACAGAGTGGAAGTAAAAGAGAGTGAATAAATGACGTAGTAAATAACAATAATAATAATAGTAATGCGAGTCATTTGATTGTTAATCGGAGCAAGAAGAATATTTTCCATAAGTAGACAGTTCATCATGTTTTTGTGTGTGGGCTGAGATACTGCCCAGGTGCCCAGACATTTGGTTACTGCAGTACTCATTATTTTTTATTGTTTACTTTCAATTGAAGGTTTAATTGCCTTTCATTTTGTTGTCTACTGGTACACTGTAATCATTACCCAAAGTTTTTTCAAGGAGAGGTCATTCATAGTTATTTAACCTATAACGAACATTGGTGAATTGGATTATAATGATTTAATTCTATGTTCATTAGATAAATGAATAAATATTCGTACTTTTCCGTTGATTTTAAAATAAATCGTTTATTTCGAGATAATCGTCAAACATGTTTCATATGACAAATTTTCCCCTATTCATAAACAGCAATGCGTATGATTTTGAGGTTTTTGTGTACATCAGCCCTAAGTCCATGATTTTTCATTACCATATAGGACGTTTCCTTTGAGTTAGTTTTTACCATAATTTCGACTTCATGCACTTGTTTCATTTAATTTCAACACCATTTAATTCCTAAAGCTACAAGAAGAGATTGGTATAAGCGAAGACGTTATCAACACTTTACAAGAACGAGCTAGTCAGCTTACAGCAGAGCGAAAACGACGTGGAAAAACAGTACCAGAAGGATTGGCTAGATCTCGGGCTATTTCCGAATACCAACAACTGGCTAATCATGTAGGCCTTCATTCTGCTAGCATGCCTGGGATTAATTGTCTTGACATCAGCAAGACATCTCCTGAGAGAATTGTAACAGGGGGTAATGACAAAACTGCTGTTGTATTTGATCTTTCTACATCACAGGTAAGTTCTCCCCATGTTCTGTTTCGTTTTATTTAGTTTAGAAAAAGTATGGGTAGAGAAGATTAATTTATTGTTAATTGAGATGAAGAAACATTTAAGAAGTGCATCGACGAAACTGATTGTATGTCTGAAAATATAGCATAATGTGGCTTCAAAACTGTGCACATATTTACGAATTGCGTTGTGACACTACATGAAGTGTAATGATCCTTTTCTTGGTTCAGTTGATAGTGCATTTTTGAAATCTCTAGGCATTTGGTTAGAATTTGAGTGTTCTAACTAATAAATAGTAGCTATAGCTTAACTTATTCGGTAATTAATCGTTTTTCACTTGGGTATTTGTCGTTTGATTCAATCGTCTTAAGTTGCTATGTTGCTGTTAGAAATAGTTGTTTTCAATATTTTGTATTTGTTGACTATCTGCATCACAACCACTAATGTCAAATATGTCCACAAAACTTGATCAAGGGATTCGTGCATATGGCTTGGTTTAGTGAGGACAGTAATACCTACTACAAGGAGAGTACTTACTACAACGTTGAAGATGTAGCATTACGAGCACACCACATTCATTTTGCCTCATGGAGGTACTGTGTTGTTCTTCAATATGACTTAATTTCACGGATAAATATAGGGAAAAGACTATACCGCTGTGATCCATTCAAGATATTCATATACCAAAAACTGGGCTTGCAGTCTCGAATTCCACCCTAAATTCTGAAGTTTCATCAGGTTTATAATATCGGTTGTCACACGGTAGGTGTTATTTTTTACACGAACACAATCCTGGTTACGGGATATGTATGTCTTAGTTTCTCAATTTTAGTGGATTGATAAAAGTGGTATAATTATTTAAAACTAACAGACTAGTAACTTCTATCCAAATCACATAGCTTTTATTCATGTAAGAACACTTAATGCTCGTACAGTAATCACATATATTAGTTTGGAATTTGGTTATGTGTATTCTATAGATCTATTTAGCTGATTTAGTTTAATACCACGTGTTGATTTCGTTCTTATCAAACTAAATAAGTGAAAGTTTCGCTTTCAGGTAAATTTGTGTATTCTTTCCTAAAATATGACTTCAGTGTTTTTGTTTGCTTCTATTTGCTTTTTTTTTGTGTTATTTCCCCCGGAAATATATCAATGCACCTGTAGTGTTGTTATTTATTTACGCTTTGCTATATTTTCATCTAAAAGGTCATATCCATTCTAAAAGGACATAACAAAAAGGTTACACAGGTTGTTTATCATCCGTCTGAAGAATTAGTGTTCACAGGTTCGCCTGACACAACTCTGAGAGTATGGGGTGTCGAACAAGGTCAATGTGCAAGTATAATTCGTGCACACAAGGGACCTGTAACTGGTTTAAGTATTCATGCAACTGGAGATTATTTGCTTTCATGCAGCTCAGATGGTCAATGGGCATTCAGTGATTTGCGACATGGACGCGTTTTGGTTAGAATTTCCGCCGTGGATAAATCTGGCAGTATCCAAGGTCAGTTTTCAAACTTAACTGAGTTTTCTGTAAATAGATTTGTATCATAGTTTGATAACTATTTATACCAATGCGGATTAACAATACCAAAATTTAATGCATAAAAGTACGTTATCGTCAATGTGATCGTGTTTGTCAATCAAGAATGAAAACACTTTTAAACTCAAGTAAAAATGGATATCTAGCCCCATTGCATTTGAATTCAATGGGACTTAGATTTCATTTGTTTTATATCAATTTTAAATGTATGAAATTTACTGTCTCTTCCTCAGCTTTGCACAGACAATCCGTAATTGGTGTGTAATTTGATTTACACACGAAAGTGCTTTTGTAAGCTGTCCCATTTATGATTATCATCAATCTTATTATCATTATTTCGGTCCTTGATAATTCTGTGTAATTTATACCAGTCCCTTGAGGCAATAATTATTACGAATAGTGTATGAAAATGTCTTATTTAGAGAACACGTGTTATGCTGCTCTTTTGTATTAGGTAGTTCCGAAGTCTTACTTTTTTCAGTTTAATTAAAATGAACAATTCATTTGCATGTTTCACTATTCTAATGACTTCATTGTCAATTGTGATTTCTTAAATTGTTCAAGATTATGGTGTAAATTTGCTATGTTCCAGGGATATCACCTAGGGCCGGCAAACGGAACGAAAGTCAGCAACACAATAACAGGACAAGCTAATCTATCCCTCTCCACCCTAACCCTGTTAACTAGGAGAAGAAGACCAGATTCATAAACAAGCATACAACTCATGCATATATATACAATACAAAAATGTCCTTGAAAAACGTCACATAATAGCGTACTAAAGGCGGAAACGAACCAAAGACATTTAAGATCATTCTAGGTGGGAAATACAAAGTGAAGGTTAAAATAGGACACGAAAATGAGAAACTGACATTTCCACAACTAAACTACAAGAATGAGTAGTTTGTTAAGTGATTTTCGGGGATCTAGTATCCATGGCAAAGTTATACTTCATTCATTTCAAATAATCTGTTTTACCTTTTGTAGATATTTCTGTATAAATTCCCACCGAATTCTCAACTAAATGTAATATGGTTTAGGTATTCAAGTTACACGTGTTGCTAATTTCAAGTGAAATCGTGAGCAATAATTTATTTCAGATCCGTATGAAAGTGTATTTTGAACTTGAAATCTACGTTGATAATTGCTTTTCGTGTTATTGGTTTTAGACCAATTATATTTAGTTGTTTATTTAGTCCATATTTCTAAATATCATTGATGTATTCTTGAAAGTTTTACTACCGAAACGAAAGCAACCGCAATTAAACCATTTGGCTCGGAGAACTGAAAAACATCAAAATCATTCATTTGAGTTTCAAATCTTCTCCATTATTTCAGTTTGTACTGTGATCCTTAGTAGTTACAATAAGTAAAATATTTAGTATTATAGCATTTCAGTTCTTTTAATGATAATTTCAGCACTTACTTGCGCCCAGTTTCATCCGGATGGTCTTATTCTTGGGACTGGGACTGCTGATGGGGAGGTGAAAATCTGGGATGTTAAGGAACGGCGCAACGTCGCAAATTTCGCACATGGTTCAGGTACTAATCAACCAGTTACAGCTGTCGCTTTTTCGGAAAATGGATATTATCTGGCTACAAGTGGTGGCGATAGTCAAGTGAAGCTCTGGGATCTGCGGAAATTAAAGAACTTTAAAACTTTGGTAGGTGATTTGTTGTCCTCTTTGAACATATGTACTCTTGCAACCGTGTATGTTATTTCAAGTCACTATATTGGTCTCTTAGTTATCATTTTGTCTGTGAAGACTGACCTCATAACATCTGTCCATCAATAGGTCTGTAGTAGCTTTGCTTCGTTAATTGATCACCTCGATAACCGTTATGATATAAATCTCAAGGCAAAGCAAGGACTAATAATAGGATTTAAGTACATACATACGTGTGGAGGAGAATGAATCATCGAGTGATATTTAAGCAATCAACATTTTAGCTAGAGTGTAATCTAGTGATCATAACGGTACAAAGAAATATGCGAATTATTGCTGTTCAAATAACATTTTCTGTTAAGTAAGTTAATAAAAGGGCTTAACTAAGATTAACCATAATTGAAATTGGTTGTAGGATAGTTGGTATAGTTCTGCTGTTGATGATTAGTGAATTACATCTAAGCCTCTAGTAAAATATGTCCTTTATCCTGTTTCTTGAATTCACATTCTGTACTTCATAAAATCCATGTCTCCAAAGAATAGTGCTCTTTCATCGAGAAATGTGAAATTCTGTGTATTAAAACTTGAATTCAGTATAAAATACAACAAATACACTAGGTATGATGGAGAAAACGTTTACAAACTTCTGTGTCGCCCAACTATCGTTGTAGTTTTATCTGTCCCATAGCTCACCAGCGATTGTGGTTCTTCGTCTTCAAATGTAGACCATTTATTCATTTGGAAAAGAAGCTTAACATTGAAATGGAGAAACATCAGGATTTTAATCCATGGCAACTTGCTGTTCACATAAATGCACTATTTTTACTGGCTGTAATCAAAAGTCATCAATACACACAACTACAGCTGATTCACATCGTTTCATTTATTCAAAATAAAATGACGTTCTTATATTCTTTGTATGATTGTCATTTTCTGTATAATGATCCCTTCTTCTTAATATATTAGTGGTGTTTTATTTAATATTGTGAATATTTACATAGGTCTTATTGTTATAGGTTTCTTGCTTAGGTTGCCTTTTGATTTTAGTTAAGCACAATTAAATACAATTTAAACAATACATTAATTTACTGTAGATTCCTGGTGAAGATCAGCCATCCTACGAAATATGCGATGTGGAATTCGACCAGTCTGGTTCATATCTTGCTGTTGCTGGTACTGATGTACGTGTGTATTTGTGCAAACAGTGGGATCAGTTAATTTCGTTCAATGCACATACAGCTCCGGCAACTGGGGTTCGTTTTGGTGAGAATGCAACTACGGTTATTTCAGCCAGTCGTGATCGTTCAGTAAAAGTATTTGGTACATAAATTACTCGTGATTTTGTTCGCAGTTATCATAATTTGTTCTGCGCTGTTTTGTTGTATATCAACACCACAAATATTCTTGTCATTGTATTATGTCTTTATAAAATATATATGTATTTGCATTTTATGCTTTTTTAGTTCTAGTAATTGTGATTGAATAAGGAACACCTAAGACTTTGTTGTTGTGTGGTCGTCCAGTTTTTACTGATACACGAGCTTCCTATTACTTCTTTGAACACATAAATATCAGTACAAAGGGGCACCAAATATATATGTGCCACATAATAAGAGTGTGAAGAGATAGAGAATGTTAGGTACGTATAAGAAAAAGGAGAACAATAACGAACAGAAATTTGTATGAGAGTGAAATAGTAATAATGGTACAAGCAGTTCAGTTAGGAAAAATACAACCGGAAAGAATCCTTTCAATTAAGGAAGTTGCTTTAACTTTTATGAAGAAGCTGTAAGTGGCTTGCAGATTTTGTTTCCGAAGAATTCTAGACGTCACAATTATCTAATCAAATCCGGTAGAATATCTGATTTATCGAGTCGTCTTTTTCCACAAGTGAGTACGACAGTAATAGTATTCTTCCCAACCACAGTTCCACTATTGATTCGGAGTATAGCAACATTGAATCACTGTTTTAATTGTCCCCTATCTACTGTTCACTGGATGCTCAGTTCACGTTAAGGATGAGATCGATTAATAGTTGGTTATTGTCATGAGGTCATTTCATCCACACAATGTTACATCCCTTTCACTGGGACCTGACGTGTACTCAATTTATCATCAACACAAGTTAGGTATGGGATAACTGACACGTTAGTTGCATAATTATTTGTTACAACTGATACTCGGTTAACTATTAAGCAGGCGAGTTGGGTTTATTCGTTAAATGCATTTGAATTATTTGGATGAGTATGTAGGTCTACAGACTTACTGTAAACAGTTGAAGCAAGTAGAAAGTATACAGTCATATTTAAATATGTGTGGGTAAGGGAAATGGTGAGTGGTTATTTACTAAATCACAACTACTCATACAACGAGGGTTTAGTTATTCCAAGTGTCACAAACAGTTACCGGCGAACGTTATCAGTATACCCCCTCCCAACGAAACTACGATAAATATGAAGATAAAATTGTTGGAAGATTTATTGATATATCACTATTACTGGCAAAGCAAGAACAACGTTTGGTGCAGGAAAATAAGTCTAGAAGTTTTATATATATGAACAAAAAGTATTTCTAATATTCGAATGAATTTGTCTAGTTATTTAGTTGTTCTTAAACAGTTGTTAACTTTCCTCTTGATCCTCTTCATTTATCCATAATATTCTGCTCGTTAATGGTCAATATTCCTTAATGTTACATGACTGCCATAATGAGGTGGCTTAGACATTAACTGAGGAATTACAACCGGATTATTCACAACCAAATTTATTTCTTCCTGATGACACACGTTTCGATCTGTTTAGCAATGACTAAACGACTGTATAATGTGAAACTCTCAGCATTAAAGAGAGGAGCTGGAATACTTAAAGACCAATAGATTTAGATGCAATCTAATCTAGACTTCAACAGAAATATAAATCTATTTCTCTGTTCGATTACTATGCATTTTGAGTGCTCGTTTATTGAGTGCAGATAGCCTTCTAACTAGAAAATTTGTGTAATTTTACACATACACAAAAAATTTCACAACGTGAAAGCTTCCAGTAACAGACCATTATGTAAGGAAATGTTAGTGAATTTCTCTGAATATATCTACCGTAATAGCATATTTTATCCTGGTTACAATAAAAAGTTCGAGCATGTTTACCGTGTAATACTGAACATTTTCATCACCTGGAATAGCTAAACACGCTCAGTGTAGTGTTAACATCCTGTGCATGCAAGCCTCCATGATTTTTTCTACGCATTCGACAGAAGTGACCATCTGGTTTTTCACTTGAACTGGGACTCTTCAGCCTTATATGGTATTTGATTATGTGAATACAGGACTAGTACAATTAAACTAATTAATCGAAAGTTTACAATAGGTCACGTTTCTCTCCATATTGTTTAACTGGGCCGTATTTTCAAGTAGAGCATCATAAGATTTCACCTCCTCACAATCTCTCTTCCAGTAACCAGGCAACTTTGATCCTACATCTTCCACCACTGAAAATGACATGCAAATCACCCTCTGTGACACTATAGACATCTATTACAATTAATATTTTTCATTCAATGTATACTATTCTATCGCAGAGTTTCTTTCCGAAATTCATCAGGAACCTTTTAGAAGTGTTATCAGAACTGTTTCCTTCATTATGAACAACGCTTCATTTGTTTTGTATCACTCTGCATATTCGAAACTACTCAGACAAGTTATTTCCAATTTAATACTCCATTCTGAATATACTGTTTAGTTTGAATAATCATTTTGTGTGTTGAGATCTGTTAGTTTCTCTACATCTCACATATTTTCTAGAGCAGCTTAAGCGAGTCGTCTTTTTCTTTACTATTTCTGGTAAGTATTATGCTTCAGCGACAGTTTACAGCTGACAAGAGTCCATGAAATATATTGATCATATTCGATTTTATAAATTGCATTTTGAGATTTATCATTTATAAATGCCATATATTGATATCATCAATATCATCAGTACCATCAGAAAACAAAATCTGCATCCCCATTCAGGTGGACAGGAATAGACCTACATCACAGACAATGAATCAAAAACCAACTAAATGCTATATCAATTATGAATATTAATACTTTATGGGGGTAAATAGGTTCTGTATTTTGGAGATAGGCAGATTATTCACAAACAGAAGCACATATCAATTTGTTATGTAGCTTATGACAAGTAAATGTCACACGTTAGTATTTAATGTTGAAAAGTGATTGGATATTCTTTGAGCTACTTATTTTGTTGCTACAACTCATTTATACATTATTTATGGTAAATAAAGTCTATAAATAATAAACAAATACGACAAAAGTGTCATATTTTTATTTTAAAATAAGTACTTTATTGAATAACTCTGCCTGTAGCTCTTCTAGAGCTACTGCCGGTCCCAGGCCCAGGTGAAGGAGGAGGGTTGGGCATGGGGTTAGCGACCCCATCCCGTAGAAAACTAACTCGCTTAAAACACTAACCAGAGAAAAATAATGCAAACCATTTAAGCACTGCCCTGGGAGTTAGGTCATCATTTAGAATAGATATGAAGTCTCATGATGAAAGCCGAGTTCCTCCGGAAGTCACGAGATCGATGACACACTTAACAACCAGAGGAACGATTAATATGGGTACATGGAACGTCCGAGCAATGTAAGAGACCGGGAGGACCAGTCAAATAGCGACGGAATTGAGGAGATACAAATTAGCAGTACTGGGAATCAGCGAAACCCATTGGACCCAAGCTGAACAACAAAGGTTAAATACGAGAGAGATGCTGCTATACTCCTGTCACGAAGAGGAAAATGCTTCACACACTCAGGGAGTTGCTTTAGTGCTGTTCAAAGAAGCACGAAATGCACTTGTAGGATGGGAATCTCACGGATCCAGAATCATCAAAGCATCCTTCAAAACAAAGAAGGAGGGAATCACAATGAATATTATCAAATGTTATGCACCCACCAATGATAGCAATGACGACGATGAAGATCAGTTCTACGATAGGTTGCAATCAACCATAGTAAAGTGCTCAGAAAAGGACCTGACCATCCTAATGGGAGACTGAAACGCCAAAGTCTGAATGGAAAACACTGGATATGAATATATCATGGAACAACATGGACTAGGAGAAGGGAACGAGAATGAGGAAAGATTTACAAACTTATGTACATTCTGCCACGTGGTTATTCCCACACAAACGCATACACAAAGCTACATGGGTTTCACCGGATTACACCACGAAGAACCAGACCATATTTGTATCAATGAAAAATTTAGAAGAACGATGGAAGATGTGAGAACCAGGAGAGGAACTGACATAGCTTCATGTCACCACTAGCTGGTGGTTGCCAAGGTGAAACTGAAACTGAAGAGGTACTGGACAACTGGGGAAACAGTATTACACAGGTTCAATATAGCCTTCCTTCGAGATACTGACAAGCTCAATGAATTCAAGGTAGCTTTCAAAAACAGGTTCCAAGCCTCACAGAATCTACTGAAAGAAGAAGAAACTACGATGGAGAACAACTGGGACGGACCAAAGAAGCATCAACCTCAACGTGCTAGGAGGTGCTGGACTGTAACAAACATCATCATAAAGAATGGATCTCTACCGAAACCCTTGACAAGATCCAAGACAGGTAGAACAAGAAGATAGAAATCAACAACAGCCGAACAAGTGCACAGAAATTCAAAGCACAAGATAAATACACTAAGGCAAACAAGCAAATGAAGAGAAACATTAGAACTTACAAGCAGAAATATGTGAAAGACCCAGCAACGACATCGGAAAAAGCTTTAAGAGGAGGAAATATGAGACAGTTATGTGGCACAACGAAGAAACTGGTAGGGAAATATGATAAACCAGAGACCCGCCAAGGACAAACAAGGCAAGACGATCACTGAAATTCAAGGATAGGGGAACATGTAGGTAGATCGCTTTGAAGACCTCTTGAATAGACCAGCTCTACTGAATCCACCAGATAGTGAAGCAGTACCTACATGTCTTCCCATACACATCACTTTGCCAACAGTCAAATAAATCAGGATGGCCATCAGACGAATCAAGAGTGAGAAAGCAACAGGATTTGGCAATATACCAGCTGAAGCACGGAAGTCAGACATAGAAGTAACTGCAAGTATGCTCCAAGTTCTATGCAGGAAGATTTGGGAGGAGGAACAAGTGCCGATGGACTAGAAGGAAGGATATCGTATCAGGATACCAAAGAAAAAGGGATCTGAGCTAATGTGGGAAATACACAAGCATCACACTACTACCGTCTCATGAAAGGTTTACAATAGTGTTGCTGGACCGGATGAAAGATTCAGTAAATGCCCAACCTCGAGGTCAAAAACCTGGATTCCGTATGGATCGGCCGTGCACAGACTAAATCGCAGCACTACGGATCATCGTTCAGCAATCACTTGAGTAAAACTCGTCACTTTACATGAACTCCATTGA